CTGCCCCCCCCCCCCCCCCGGTCGTCGCAACTGGATGTTTTTTTCTGCGCGAGAAGATAAGCGTCAGCTTAAACTGTCTACCCACAAGCCCGAAGAACCAAGGCATACGTGTATTATCCCACAGTTGCTGATGGGCCTTTTCCTAACGCTTGAATCCGTTGGGCGTCTACATTTTCGTGATAATCCTTTTGTATACGTTATATTTTCTTACCTGGAAGATGACGTCATCAGAAGAATAATAAGCTAGAATTAGATGATAGAACACGACTATTATTTTGAGTTTGTTTCCATTTCTTGAACATCACCAGTACGTTCTCTCAGAGTCCTTCAAATTACAGTTCAGGTCGGTGACCTGGCAGAAAATCGGTGCTCACAATCTGTGTCCCTGAAGGCTTCTGCATATGGAGGAGCATCCATTCTCGCGTCAGTTCTGTTCGTCATCTGTGAGCCACCATTCGGCAGAGTTGCACAGCGTGGCACCCACAAAACTGGCCGCGTCGTCGTCGCTGCCCACTGCAGTGGGAAAGTACTGACAGACAAACATCTGCGTCTGAAAGAGGCCTTATGTTCGTTCAGTTTAACTTTGCTCGGTATGTATCACGCATATTTTACAAACAGGTACTTCGCAGTTTTGTATACCTCAGCGACCCTGACTTTCTTTTATTCTGGATAGAGTTCATACAGAACCAATCACACTGCACGGTGTTGCGGCGCCTTGAATTATATAATACCCATATCTTATCTAAGCATATTTCAGATAGAAGCATATGGAGATCTATATTTTGCCGTGTGCCAATGCGTTTTATGATTNCCCCCCCCCTCTTTTTTAACGTAACTTGATGTTGTTTGAGTTTCGTGTACAGAAGTTGTGTTGGAGCAGCAACTGAAAGTGTTAGACTCACATTAAATGTGTTGAACATTTCCGGAAATGTAACATCTCGACCCTCAGTTAATTGTAGTCTCTTTGTACGAAGAATAGATACAAATTCAGAAGACGGAATTTATCGCTGTTAGAAGACCACTATCTCCCATGCTTCTCGTTTAGGCCTCATATTGCTGCCGTGTTTTTGTGATATGAATCTGTATGTAGATAAGCCCGGATAGCGCAGCCGATATGCCTGGACGACCAAGGGGTCGGAGTTCTAGTCCCGGTAGGGTCAAGAATTTTCACTTCCGCATGTCGCCCAGACCAGCTTCGGGGCCCACGCGACATTAGGCATGATGGCATTATTGTGATGAGGATGGCCGATACGTTCCCAGTGTAAGGCAAAGAATCCATGCAGCAGAAGACAGGTTTCAGGCAAAAAGTCAGGGGGTAAACTAGAACACAATCATCATTTTTAATTGCTTTTTTTTTCTAATTACAGGACAAGAAGGAAGCAAACTTACGAGTTGTCGGAGAGCTGCGCAGACGGATTGCTGACATTGCAGGGCAAGGTAAGAAAGAAATCAGCGTTGGGGGCCTGGCCTCTGGTTGCAGAGCTGTTTCTGCGAAGCAGGTTGGCTGTACTGTACAGGTAGTTAGTTAGTTATTTAGAGAGGGTGGGTTTCCCCATGCACCGCGACCAGTTTGATCTATTGTGCTTCCCTGTATGATATTCTACCAGTCTCTATACCCCACCGATATTGGTGCGTACCATCAGTCCCGACCAAGCCAGCGAGCTCGGCCTCTACTGGCTTGGCGGTATATATAATGCTTCCCCCATCTATCAGAGGCGTTAGAGACTACTGTTGGGCGGGAAATGTCCTTGAATATGGCTCAGTGACCTCCTTAGGAGATATGAGGTTCTTTTACGTGCCGTAAAGCTACGGCACAGGACCCACGGCTTAAAGTCCCTCCCGGAGGACTTGTTCTCTGAATTTTTCCGCCCTTAAAAATTCCACGACCTCCGCCGGGTTTGAACCCGCGTACTACGAGTCATGAGGTGGGAACTTTACCTCTAGACTACGGAGGCCGCTTACTGTACAGGTATCTCTAGTGAAACAAATAAGGTAAAGCTTTCCATGTAACAGGCTGTGAAGGCTCATAGGGTTGGGAGACGTCGAGGCTTCCACATTTTCTCTAGACAGTCGGCTCACGATGGCTGTAAATTTGTCAGACTTACGCGCCGGACTCCCTTTACCCCCAGGAAGATTCCTGGTACTCATTTCTGTTAGAGACTGAGTCGACCCCAGGGGCACAGTGCGGCTGGAACGATTAGGTAAATTGAAAAAAATCCACCTCATCGCAACTGGAACCTGCGACATTAGCGTAGTGCCTCAGCCAACTGCGCTACCGCGTGCCCCATTCCATTAAGATATCTGGTTGAGATCTCTGATTTTTTCAGGCTTTCCAAGTAAAATCAGTGGAGTTAGATCACACAAGTATTTTTGCACGTATTTTCTTTTCCAGTGCTTATTATCTTAATACAGTATATCTCACTGGACATTATGTAAATTTAACTAATTACATTTTGTCCTACAAAGAGTAAGAAGTGGCTCACAGTCTGTTTCAGTGGCGGGTTTTAGTTTAGTGATGTTCAACTACTGGATTACAGGAGAATAAATCTGTGATATTGCCAGTCATTTTGTCTTTGTTAGTTGTAGATTAACAGCAAAAAATATCCGTAGTAGCAAGTGAAACAAATGGATCGTGGTGCGTGTGCGCGATATCTGACCGTTACGTGTAACTTCCGGTTCCGGTGGCCGCAACTCTTGCATATCGTGAACAGATGCACGTGTACTGACCTATTTGAGAGTTTGATGCAGTACGCATAAATAGAAACAGTCCCCACTGTATCGACATAGTGCGTTCCTGAAAACCGCGTCACGAAATATTTACAAATCAGGCTGGCTGCATGGGTTTAACCTAGTGGTTCTCAAAATTTTTACCTCTGAGCCCCCCCTGACAAGAGAAAATATTCTCAGGCCCCCAGCCTGTTTTTTTTTTCAAAATAGAAGTCATGGTATGTTTGACGTTTTATTCAGTTTATTTTGTTTTTCTGCATACTATTTATCAGTTTTTTGACTCAAAATTAAAGTATCACAATATTAGGCCTACAATAAAAATTAGTTTTAACGCTTGCAATTAACCAAAATATGTATTGAAATGAAACGATATTTAACTAACAAGTATTTAATTTTTTTCTGCAAAGAAAATCAAACATTTAAATGTCAAAGTTCAGTGTGATGGATGGGCCTGCTTTTGAGAACAAAGTTTATCAAAACGTGGTGTAATATCAGAAATGGCCACTCTTAACCTCTTTAGCAATATTTAGCCTTGAACGATACTTTGAGTTTATAGCTGCCAAAGCAGAAAAACCTGTCTCGCATAAGTAAGTTGTGAAATGAATCAGGATCTTCAATGCCTTTTGGCTCAAACTTGGGAATTCCTTGCCAATATGTATCCAGAACTCCAACAAAGACAATTTCTTAAATTTACTTTTTAATGAAGTATCACTAGTGAGATCGATGAGTTGTTCTTGCCCATTTACATCCAGAGATGATGGCCCAGGAGCATTTTCGAATGGATATTTTATCCAAATAAATTCATCAAAATTATTGCAAAAGTGTTTCTCGAAATGAACTTTCAACATTATGAGATGATCAAGTAGGCAGCTTTTTATGTCCATTGGAAGCACTGGATTATCAGTGTCTTGTACCATTGACACCAGAGTAGGGAACATGTCTAGCATGTCACTTTCCATACTGTTTCTCCAGAGCTCTAATTTTCTCATGAATGCCTTCACTTTGTCATTCCAAGAAAGTACAGTTGCCTCATTCCCTTGAAGTGAAGTGTTGAGGATATTTAGTTTCTCAAATATATCTGCGAGGTAAGCCATATTCAATAAAAAATCCTTGTTGCTGAAACTGTCTGCCAGTGAGTGATTTTCCCCATTTAAAAATCAGAACACCTCATGCCTGAGCTTAAACATTCTCTTTAATACCTTGCCTCTTGAAAGCCATCGAGCATCACTAAAAGAACAATAGAGCAGTGTGTTCGGCACCCATTTCCTCACACAGCATTTTAAGAAGTCAAGACTTTAGAGGATTTCAGAGGATGCGGCTGCTGCCGAACTATCAACGCTGTCTCTGACATACGCGTTTTATAAATGCCGGTAAAGAGAATAATTATTAGTAATTTGGAATTCATGATAATTAAAGCCTGTACTCATCAAAAGTTTTTCTATATGTATTTTTATTTTTTCTTACTTTCTAATTGATTTAGGGCAGTTTTAATTTTTATCTGTAGGAAAGTATGCTGCGCCCCCTCCCCCCGATCGCGCCCCACAGTTTGAGAACCACTGGTTTAACCGTGCCGGTATAAATTGAGTGAGGTCGGTAAGTTCTTCGGTCAGTCAGACCTGTTACGTTAATTTGAGAAGTGAGGGAGCTGTCGTTTGGACAAGAGACGTTTCAGAAGCTTGGATTATCGGAGAATCGCCGATATAGAAGCCCCGTGTCTGCTTCCAGTTCGTGATGAAACCCGCTTCGCGCCTGGTTCCACGTGACGGATCACGAATTTCACTTTCGCGCGCAGCGTGACAATCAGAGCCTAATTTTATGCAGGAAGATAAGGCCGTGACGACCGACACTAAATCAGTGCCCGCACAGGACTGTCGGTGTTCTTTATACCTGGGAATTGAGTTATTTGAACGTTTCGTATTTAGGCGGAGCGAGGTGTGAGACATTAGGAACGGACCGTGTACCCCTCCAAATGTTCAGCCCTCGCTTCAGTCACTATGTTAGTATATATTTCTTGTCATATGACGCCAGAGTACTTGAATCCGCTTGAGAATGTGAAGGGGAAGAGAATAAAGAGAGGGATATGCAGGAGGATGAAGAAAACCGAAGGAGATAAGGGAGAAGATAATTATACCTGTAGGCTAAATACTGGATATCTGTATAGGCTATAGCTCAAAATGCCTTAAATGTTTCCCTTCTTTCCATTTCCATCAAAGTAAAACAGACCAGAGAAGAGCTGCAGTTCTATAAAACAAAGTACAGCAGATATATCGAGTGCCGGGATAGCGATTGGCCACGGGGTGGACGACCGAGGGGTCGGAGTTTGATTCACGGTGGAGTCAATAATTTTTATTTTAATATTACCGAAGGGTTTATATAGTTCTCGGAGCAAAGAAGAGGTGAATCAGATTCAATAGCAAACACACATCACTTAATCAATCCATTCCTGATAACAGGCCAAGTGCACTGCAGTACTACACGTACGACACAGGCAATTACAGCTCATATTTGCAGACCGCCTAATGCAAGTGCTTGACAGATAACGAGACACGGACTCCAAAAGCTGCGCTACATCACGTTGCCATAAATAGGCTAGATGATGCCTAGTAACTTTCACTTTTGGCCGCGCCATAGCTCAAGCGGTTAGCCGCTGGCTTCCCACCGCGGCGGCCCGGGTTCGATCCCGGGGTCTGGTCAAGTGGGATTTGTGGTGGACAAAGTGGCGCCGGGGCAGGTTTTCTCCGAGTACTTCGGTTTCCCCTATCAATCTTCATTCCACCAATTGCTCCACAATCATCCTCACCTATCATCTGGGGCTGGTACGTACCAATAGGCCAGAAGTGGCCGCAGTGCAAGGGACTTAGTCCCAGCCCACTAGCAATTAAAAAAAAACTTTCACTTTTTGTAAGACAAGACCCGTTATTTTGTTACCTGGTAGCAGCATCTCTAACTTAGCCAAACCCGGCGGAGGTCGTTGAATTTTTAAGGGCGGAAAAATTAAGGGAACAAGTCCTCCGGGAGGGACTTTAAGCCGTGGGTCCCGTGTTGTAGATTTACAGCACGTAAAAGATCCTCATGTCTCTAGGAGACCTCTGAGCAAAATTAGGTAAAAAGTTTCCCGCCCAAGTAGTTTCCAATGCCTCCGGTAGATGGGGAAGTATCGGGTACCACTGCCAATAGAGGGGCCGAACTCGCTGGCTGAAGGGGGCTGATAGTGAGCACCAGTACCGGAAGGGTATGGCGACTGGTAGAATATCAAAGGGGGACGTACAGTAGAAACCCACCCCCCTCCAATAATGAATGAATGAACTTAGCCCATGTATCGGTTACTGTTATGCAGTTTAAGTATGTTCGGTTCGACCTTTTCAGCCACTAACTTCTCAGTCGCCATAAAATTGTGGTACTTGCTGTTCGTTGCAATGCTCGTCTGGATTACGACACCGTGTAGTCTAGTAAGTTTTTATAAGCTTTGCGGATGAACATGCTGCCATCTTCACGGTACCTTAAAGATGGAGGCAGCACTTTTCTGCACCTACCTGCCAGACTGCGCGGTGTCATAACCCATACGACCATAAAGTGAACCTTCACCGCCGTACAAATCCTAGATCTCATTCATGCCCAAAGCTGATTTCGAACCCGCGCCCGTGGTTTTTAGGTAGTCCGAGACAGCGTGGCCACCTGACCAGTGCCTGTGTGATCACACGTATGAAGTGTATAAAGCTAAAGGTAAAGTTGTCCTTGTGCTTAACTAATTAAGCACTACACCAAGAAGGCGTATGAGGGAGTGGATGTA